TGGCCTTAATTTATTGCTGCCGTTAAAGCTAGAAGTTAAAACTCTAAGCTTTAATCTAATTACAAAAAAGGTTTATAGACCTCAAAATTCATATTTTATAGAAAATGAAAGTTTAAAGCTAAATATTGAAGAATCTATTCTTTTTTTAAAAAAAGAAGAATATCAAGTAGAACATTATAACTAGTTGGCTTAGAGTTTCATTTTTGCATACTGAATCAGCTTGAAAAGCTTCGCTATTTTAGATAGTTAATATTAATTGATTTGATATATAAGACCAATAAATATAATTAGAGATTATTTATATTGTATATTTGAGATAACTACAGCTCTTAAAATATTGGAGCCTATTTTTTTGTTAGCAATAAAACTAGTGAGATAGTTGCAGAGGCTCTCAAAATAATCTGGTATTTTAAAAGTTTTTGGATGCTCTGTTACTTCCTCTCTAATTAAAGTAATATTGAGACAAATAGTATTTTAGAGGCTTTCTCTGGTTTACTAAAAGGTAAACAGATATATGAGATTCTTTTTTGTACTATCTATATAGTTCGTACTTGAATAAATAGAATTTACAAACAAAAGGTTTAGAGCAAAATGATATGTGCAATATATAAAGTAACTAAAACTAGATATAATAAGCTTATCAAGAATGCAATTAATAACTGTCAAGTTTCTGATATCAAATAGTATATAATATGAAATTATATAAAAAATACTAATCAATAGGCCCTTTGGACCCAATAGTATTCCTCCCTTCTCCTACAAATAATATTAACAAATGCAATAGAATTATATCATAGTGAATTAAAAGATTAATAATTTCTCATCATAGGTTAATAGATAGCTTTTGTGCATTTGTATTTATATTTTTGATTTGAGAATAAGCAGAAATCAGATAATTTCAATTTATTATAGTGACCTATTCTCTCCCCCTATCTGACTAGTTATACAAGCTTATCAAATCAAATCACTTCTATTAAGACCTGACTAAACTACTATACCTCTCCCTCTCTAAGAAATTAGCTGATTTCTGCTCATTTTCTTATGTTGTAATTTATTTATATAATAAATAAATATCATAGCTAAAACTAGAAATAGCTAAAGTTGAAAATTTTAAATATTTAATATAAATTTTAAAATTTTTGTAAAACATTTTTTGTAATTAGATTAAAGCTTAGAGTTTTAACTTCTAGCTTTAACGGCAGCAATAAATTAAGGCCACACAAAGTTAATTTCTTGGTTTACATAACCCGGCCGGGTCAAAATTTATAGATCTTTGAAAAAAAAATTTCATATGTAATTTATTATAAAATCTCCGGGTCAGTTTTTTAAAAAAAAATTTAAAAAATTTCATATGTTTTTATATTTTTCTCTAAAAAAAATCATATGAAATTTTTTATAATTTAAAATAAAAAGCCGGGCTGCCAGGTCACTTTTAAAATTTTATGTTATGAAAACCAAGAAATTAACTTTATGTGGCCTAATTTAAAATTGAATTAATTTTTGTTAGAAATTTAATTTAATTTTATTTTATTTTTGCATACAATGCTCACAAGTATAGTTTAATAAATATATTAAAATATTATTTAATATTATTTAATGGGCACTTGTAACAAAGTAGTTATACTTAATATAAAAAAGTAATTGAATACAGAAAATATAGTCTTTAAATTCTGTACTAAGCAAATTTTAGCCTTTAGCATAGATTACAAAACTCTTGACCAAATTCATAAGTTTCTATTCTCTATATAACAACTAATTATTAGTGAAGTTCACGCTATAGAAAAAAGGATAGAAAAGGGTAAGAAGGTTCTAGGTCTTATATTTCCTAAGTGTCATTATTGTTTTTTCTGCTAGTACTTGTTTCTATGCTGGTATATATTTTATAAGCAACTATATGAAGAAAAAAAATTGCTACATTTAGTATTTGGAAAGAGTTTTAATGAATATTTGTAGAGAGTGAATTCGAAGTATATATCAATTGTAAGTTAGTAGAAATTAATTTGCACAAGAAAACAGAAACCAAAAAGGCTGCAGATAAACAGTATTTAACAATAAATGAGTTATTTGAAAGAACAAAAATGCTTACTGAAAGGTCAAAGAAAAAGGCAAATCATTACAAAAGGCTATATTTATTGAAGTGTTAGAATCATCTTTGAATATAGTCTTAAATTTGCAAAACAATGTGAAGTAAAAAAAATTAAAATAAAACATATTTGCTCCTGTTGCTAGTTTTGTGTAATGGAATTATATAGCTACTTATATTGAAACAGACAGAGTACTCTTATATTAAATAAAAATAGTAGCTAAATTAATTATTAAATAATAGGATATTTAGTCAAAAAAAAAGCTATCAATATAAATAAATAAATAAATAAGCATTAAGTGACATCTTCATATAATTGATATTTTGTTTTATCAAAAATGAATTGAATAAAACTAATATTAATTATACAAGAGCACTTTGAACAGAGTACAAATTTATTATTAATTACTGAGATTTCAATAAATTAAAAAAAAATTTTGAAATTTTATTACTAGCAAATTACATAGGTAAAATAAAATATATGAATATCCACTATGAAGTTTCAAAATTCTCTCTAATAAAAGATTATCAAAAAAAATTTTGGACACATTATGTCACAATTTTGTTCACTAGCTTTAAGTATTAATTTTAATAAAGAGAGTATTCATACTTCTAGCAAAAATAAAAAAAATCTAATAATAACCTAATTAGGTTAGACAAATTTTTTTATTTGAATTCTATCTATAGAATTTAAATAAAAAAGTTTTATTGAAGTAGTTGCTGAGATATTTTGTTCAAAATTAAAAAAATAATACAAGTTTTATTTATACTGGTGTTCTAATTTTTCTCTAACTTAGAGTAAAGATATCTCGACAACTACCTGATCAAAAACTAATAAAACTTTTTTATCAAATTCTATAGAACCATAGAATTCAAATAAAATGTTTTATCAAATTTGATCAAGTAGTTGTTAAGATATCTTGCTCTAAGTTTTAACAAAATTTGTACTTCTATTTTGATAAATAGTTTGCTTTTTCTCAAACTTTGAATGAAGATATCTAGAAAATCACCTGATTAAATTCAGCAAAAATTTTTTTATTTAAAGACTAAGAATTTATAAAATTTAATAAAAAAAAGTTTTATCAAATTTAGTTAGGTAGTTGTTAGGATATCTTTATTATTTTTGTTAGCATTAGTAACTAAATAATATGTACTAAATTTTGTAATTACTGATAGCTGCAGATCATTAGAAAATCTCATAATGTACTTAGCTTTAAGTGACCCCCCAATATAAATATAGAATATACAAAAATTTCTATACCATATTCTGCTAATTCTAGTACCCAGACTGGTTCTTATGATCTCATACAGGGAGCCTAAACTGAAGCTACAAAAACAGAGTCAGTTAACATAGTATAAGGAGATAAAGTATAAACAAGAATATATAGTCAAGCACTAATAGGTAATACCTTAAACAAATCAAACCAACTCAAAGGAAGTAATATCAAATGAAAACTAATAGATGACAGAGAAAAAAAATAAAAAAAAAGCCTGAAGTTATTACTAGCAACATAGAGAGAAGAAAACTTTACAACTTTTAACATAACCTTATAGAACTGTAACAAAATTATCAAATTACTAAGTTCTTCAGAAGCTATAAAAGAGTTTATAGTATATAAACTTAATACTTTACCTAATTAAACTTATATTCCAGAAGCTATCAAAGCGAAATTTTTTTATAGAAATATAGCTTTTTTTAGAATCTTTACTTGTACTATAGCTAATAGGTCTCAACACTAAGTAGAATTTAATTCATTATTCAACAAAGCTCTTGAAACATACAAAAAGCAATATAACATACTCCAAACAAATAAAAATAATTGAGACCAAATATTTGAAAAGCTAAGAGCCAAGCTCACACTAGACTATCTAATATTACTAAACTTTAATACTATAGATGCCTGAGAAATTACATGCTATATACACTACTTATCTACTTTTTTAAAAATATTACTTAAAGAAAAAACAGACTTTGACATACTGAAAAAGATAGTTTCTAATGCAATTAACAGAACTCATATTCTTTTACCAAAAAATTCTGAACAAATATTAGATTAACTAAAAAAAGCAATCTCATTCAACTTGTTAATTTCTAATAAAGCTATTTTGGCACCTATATCAAGAATACTACAAAGGATATTTACCTTTGAACTAATACCTGAATCTTATATTAAAATACTAGACTTCCTCTACTAAAATATCTACATCTACTAAATGAAATATTAAAAAACATATTTCTAATTATTTGAAGAGCAAATCTAAAAAACTTAGCTTCTTATTAAGACAAATTACAGAAATATTATACATTTTAAAGAATACCAGCTGCTACCTTAATTTATCTGCTGCAAAATCGCCACTACTACTCATACCTCAAGAGCTACTAAGCAAACTTTACAACTTCTTCCTATTTCTTTCTAAAGATACAGAAGATTTCAAACAACATATTCATATATTACATTAAGATTTTACATTTACTAGGTTGCCAAATAACTATTTTATTCAATCTAAATATTTACCAGCTGATTCTACAATATTAAAACTTGAACTAGAGTTTACATTCCTAATGAAAGATAAGGAAACAGTATTGCATTTCTTAGAAATACTACTTTCAACTTATAAAATCCTAATGCTACTACTAAAAATTTATTGTGAATACAACTATACAGAGCTTCCTAATCTACTAAATGAACTAAAAGAAGTAACTACAGTTAACCTTACACTACTAATCTCCTCTTCTAAAGAACTTATAATTATAGCAAGAGTACTAAGAGAGCATTACTTCTTCTATAGTATATCATAAGAATGAATAAATATTCTAACAAAAGAATTAGATATAAACTCTAGAGAATTACTTTCAACACTAAATGAATTACAGAATATTATAAAGAAAAAAAAAATAAAAGATATCTATATACCTATTACAAAACACAAAAATATATCAGATACTCTAGAAAAGATCAAAGAGCATTTTGACATTAGCTATTTTTTTAATTATATCTTTCAACTTCCTAATTTACCTTCTCCAGACTAGGATATTTTTATAGACACACCTACTAATATACTACTAACTTCACTAGATCTTCTAAGAACAGAAGCAGAAA